ACTAGTGTAATTGGATGAGTCATATAACACTCATTGGTTAGCTAAAGGAAATCATCAGAAGCAAGCCTGAAATGAAATGTCTGAAAGGTCGGACACAGGCGAGAGCTTATCGGGAGATGGAGATGGAGACGGAGACCAACAAGACCACCCTCATCCTTGGCCCTATCTAAAAGAATTAGTAAAAAATTGAGCTTTCAATTCATATAGGGGCATCTGGCTGTTTTTTTTAAAGGTTACTTTATACTTTTATACTTTAAGTAGTTTTTGGAGCACATACTTTTTTACTTTTACTTGAGTACAGAGGTCAAGTGTATACTTCAACTTTTACCAGAGTGTTTTTAAACTGCAGTATCTATACTTCTACTTAAGCAACAAATGTGTGAACTTTTGACACCAATGGAATTTTGTAACAAAAGGCTCTAAATGATTATCTGAAAACTAAAAATAATCTCTCATGGTTCTCCCCTTTTGAAATTCTATTTGAGTTTGTTTTTGAGTTTTCATTTATCTATGTCATTCTGTTTTGCTGATCTTTGTGTTATATTTAAGCTGTGTTGCATTTTTTGAGTTTCTCTCTGTTGCCCCCTTGTGCCAGTCTCCTTTCCCCTAGCTCCCTTCTCGTTACTTCTATCCAAACCTGCTCTATATCAGAACCCATTTTTGTTCTGTCCCCCATATATATATACCTCTTCATTCCTGATTTCTTGTTGTTACTTGGCTGCCCATGTGTGTTTTCTCCTGATGCCTCCTGGTTTTTGGTTTACTGTATTTTGGTTCTTGGATTTTGTTTCTGTTGCCTTTTTCATTAAATCAGCGAAACCCATCTCTGTCTCCCCATCTCTGCATTTGGGTCCTTGGACAACCTCCACCCAATCCTGACAGAATCTGGCACTGCTTATTTGTTTATCCAAGTTTTATAATGGGAATGTTAAAATCTGTTTTTGAGTAAAAGTAGCTGAGTGTTTCCCATTGTACTTTCTTTTAAATTGAGACTGAAGTAAAAACAAATGTTGATTACATAAAAAAAAAAAATAGTTTTACCTGAATGTTTCCGTCTTAGGGAGCTTTTAATTAAAATCTCAACCAAACATTTAGTTAAAATGCTTCAGCATTAATTGTGTGCAAAGACAGATAAAATATCAACCATTCTTGATATGATTGAGTGTGTGGCACAAAATTATCCTAAGGGCTATGAATAGCTTTTGGGCTGTACTTTGGAACCAATGCTTTTACCTTAATTCCTTAATTAATGTCTCTTCAAGATTTCCCTGTGTTTTTTATCTGAAGTAATCACTAAATACACCCTGAGCCTCAGTTTCTACTCCTATAAATACATTTCTTTACCTTTAATAGTACTTTTAATTGAACAACAGGGACAGCTAAAGGACTGCAGGAATAATGATGCATTATTAATAATTATGATAAAAATTCAATATCATAATTATTGCATAATTATGATATAAAATTTTAAAAGGATGACAGTTAAATTTTTGTAAATTAGTACATTTTCTTTCTTTTTACCTTTTCTTTTTAAATGTTCTTTCTTTTGAAAGCTGTTTTAAAAATAAGAAACATTGGGTTTAAATCCTTGCACTGTTTAAATCTGCAGGTCTGATAATTTCAACAACACGCTGTTTAATATTTAGAATTTTTTTTAATGTACAATTACTCTTTTAAATTACGTGTTCTCCTTTCATTGCAGCAGTTTTGTATAAACAATATAATCCAGCAGTGCATTATAGTATCTAAATTGCTGATGTTGTGTCTTTACAAGCCAACAACACCGACAAGTACTGCTGACTACAGCAATCCTTATGTGATAGCCTGGTTTGTGCCACTAAATGGTGCCACTTTTCTGTTGCTCAGCCTTGCTTGGATGGAAATGTTGGTCCGCCTCCTGCACTCCCGAGGTTTTAACAAACACTGTGCCTCAAAATTACAGACAGCTACAGGTGAGATAAATAAATTCATGTCCAAGATATGTGCCTTCTTGCGATTGGCCAGAACTCTGCTTCTTTTGTGCATGCAGTTTAGCCAGAGAGCAATAAAGATTTTCTTTGAGGAAAGTATATTCAGGGAAGGCAAACAAATAAGGAGAAACTTCAGCTCTGACTCAACTGGTGGTGTGGGTGGGAGTGAGGCTTGTGTAAGAGCAAGATTTGTCATATCAAGACAAGACGTGTGCTTGGCTGTTTTTTGTGGATTCACATCACCAAAGTATCTATTTTGTCCTTTTGTGTGAAGAACAGAATCACAGTGCTCCCAACAACTGTTGCCACTAAGCACAAGCTCAGATAGTCACTAGGTGCCTCAGGAGGATATTAAACAGGCTTTGCTATTTAGGATTCACTTACCCTCCTGCAGTGTTTTTCCTGGCTGTATGTTAAATCCAACTGAAATGGCAAAATTATCTTTAGCTGGATTGATTGATTGAAAATATATTAAGTTTATTCTAAATAGTCCTACCATCATAACTCGCTTTGTTTCATATGATAAACACGGCTAAAAAGAAAAAGAATTTCCATCTGTGAAAGAAACACTTCTGAATCTCAGGAGCTTTTAAAATGCAGTACTTGCAAAAAAGTTTCATTCTCTTATGATAAGCACAAACTTGAGATTATTTTGGACTCTCTAATGATGCACAGTAATTGTTCTTTTTAAGAGCAAAGACAGTTAGAAAAATATGTAAAATAAATTCTAATCACAAAGTTTATTTCAAAAGAATAAAAATGTATTTCCTTTTTGGTCTTATCCATACATTGCCAAAATTAAACTTTTAGGCAGATATATATTAACCTCTTTAAATTTCCTTTGTAAAATGTCCCCTATAACACACAATTAACCAATCAGAAGCTATCAACATACTTCATAGATTTTTCTCCCTGAATATCCAACAAATCTTCATTGCATATTTAGTATTTCATTTTCTGGCAAAAACCTAGCTTTGCAACATTCTTAATACATGAATATAGAAACATGATTGACAGCAAGCTTTGTAAAACATTTTTCAGGACCAAATTGTTACCTTGCTTTATCCATTCTAAAAGTAGTTTGTTTGTGGCCTTGGGATCATCAAAATATTTCCAAAGTACCTTCCAGTTCATGCTGTGGTCTCCATTATTTTACACCTTTTGAATGAGCTGAACACAGAAGGGGGTATGAAGTTGACCCAGCATTGCATGTGTGCCTCTGTTGATGATCTGAATATGTAAAAAAAAAAAAAAAAAAAACTTAGTTTACAAAATATGGTGTTAATATGAGTGAAAAAGCATGTGACTATTTTTTTTTTATGCAATCACTTTTTCTCTCATTCCTCTTACTACTTTGTTTAAATTTTGGGCAGTAGCAAAAATCTGATTGTTGATTATATGGTGTGTGTTTAGTGTCAAAAATGTTTCTTTTTCAGTTTTTTTAAATACACCAATTTCGATAGGGCTAAAAAAAAAATGTGAGCTAACTGAAGTAACTTCTTATCCAAAAAAAAATTTTTTTCTGAAATTGCCATGTTTCAAATAAAAAAACGTCAAACTTTTAACTGCTCTATGCACAATTTGATGGTCAATATAACGTTCCTACTTATATGAGTTAGTCATGAGTTCTTTTAAGCTCATTATTTATTCTCCTGAAGTCCTATTTTATTGAGTCTTGAGATAAGAAAAAGATTTCTGATGTTAAATCAAGGGTTGAAATCAGTCTATTGATACTAGGGTTCTGAAACTACTGTAACTCTGTTTAAAACTAACTCTGTTTAAAGCAGAGATTTAAAATAAAAAGGAAAAGACTATGTTCACTTTTTATTTTTAAAGCAGATAATTAAAAAGAAAAAGACTACATAACTTTTATTCTTAAAGCAGAGGTTTAAAATTAAAAGGAAAAGAGTATGTTAACTCTGTAGGCCATACTGCTTAAGATAACCTGCATTTTTTTCCTGTATTTAACATTATAAATTAAATATGACCGCCAATAAAAACCAAATTGAATGCAAAATGACCTGCATGTGCAGATGAATACTTGACATCACATGCAAAAAGCTGTTTTCCAAAAATGTACATGTAATGCACGTAGTTAGCATATGAGTATCATGCCTTTTCTAAAGGTTTTATTTAGAAGGATATCAACTCTACAGATGCAAAGTATGACGTTGATGTGATTAGCTAGATGCACATGAAGATGACTTTGTTCTGCACAATTTGTGAATAAACATGCACCACCTCTCAAAAAGACAAATCAAAAAACTATTGAATAGTTTAGTAGTCACAATACCTGCCATGTTTCATCCATGTTTAGATTTGATCAAGAGGCCAGACTTGAGCTTTGGTGATTGCTTGGTTATTCCTGAATTTTATGCCCATTTTTCTCCCATCTAAATACAATTGTGTTTCAGGTAGGGTGCTCCAATGGCACAATGAACAGTTTTAATGTATACCACATTAAAACTGGTTTTGAAATTAGGGTTAGTGTAAAAGAGCAAAATATGAAGCTTCTGAAATGCCCTGCCAAAAAACCTGCCCTCAACAATATAGAACATTTCCTAACTATATTAAAATGTGTATTGTGCATAGCCAAATCAACCATTTTAAATGAGCTGAGATACATTTTAAGTGAGAAACATTTTTTCCCAAATAATAAAAAATATAAGATATTATATATTTATTATATTTTATAAATATTTAATATATTATATTAAATATATAATGTATTTACCATCAGGGTTTTGATGCCAAAAAAGGTTTAGATTTTATTTGTCAAGGATAATCTAACCAACTATTAGTTTTATACCATGCATATGTGAGTTTAAAATAGAGGACATTCATCATTCATGTCCTTTAGGGGTGTATGTAAATTTCCCAACTGAAATAAAATGAATCTCTTTTTTTCTCTTTTACACTGGTCAATTGTTTGGTATTTACAAAAAAAAAAAAAAATGTTTTACAAAAGAATCATACCCAATGGACCAATAACTTTTAAATGATTTTATGACAAAACCTTTTACAGCCATCTTGAAAGCCTTCATCTTGTACACAGTATTTGATCAAAGAGTCACGCTAAAACACACACTTGTTAAAAGACAGACCGCTTTAACTGGCATTTTTTACCCTCATTACTTTGATTCTCTCATTGGGTTTCTCATCTCACTTTGACAAGGTAAAGCCCTCGACTAGGAAACAACTGAGAAACAGAAATGCACATCACAGCACACAGAGGTTTTATATTGAAATGCAACACACACAATTCAAAAATATACTCTATTTTTTTGCAGGAGATGCCTTTTTCTCCTTTGTACATATAGAAAAAATACAGTGGCAATTAAATTCACCATGGGAAATGCTTTTAGAGAGTCATCAGTAATGCGGCTCTAACGACAGTGCGAAAAGTCTGCAGGGTCCTATGTGCCATTAACAACAGGGATCATAATCTCCTGTGTGTTGAAACAACCTAAAAGATGAGAAAACGGCTCTTTCTCAGGTCTGAGAGCCGCATTTACTCATATTGACATTTTTTATAGTCCAGCCGCTCATTATGTCATGTATGTTCACAGGTTGTCACTTCAGGTAAAGGTGTCTGGTCCTGCATGATTACTTGAGGTGGAGTAGGTGCAGGACGGGGATGTGCCACAGAATTTTTCTGCATTTCCACTCCAAAGGCAGGAGGAGCATTCTGCAACTGTCTTCTGTACTGTACAAAGCTGCAGGTCTTTAGGATGATGGCCAATATGTTCTTTCCGATTAGGATCCCAGATACTCTTGCATCCCTGTACAGAAACATATTTCCTCCACGGATAAAAAGTGTGATAATGTTAATAGTGACCAGGCTGAGGATGGGATACAGGAGCATCTTGTGGGGGACGATGTTTATGCCCTGCATGCTGATTTCACTTAAAGACACACAAGGCAGCACAAGGAGCAGGATGTAGCAGTAGAAAAACATGAGTCCCTCTGCCCACAGGGGAAGCCCTTTCTTCTGAGGCTCCCATAAGTTAGCTTGGATGTCCAGTATGTCCAGCAAGTCAACCACTACCCAGAAAAGTCGATTCCGAATCTCCTCCCGTTTCTTGAAGGCTCGGACGTACTCCATGTGGTCAATCGCCACCAGCACAACAAACAGCACTGGGATGCAAATGGATAAGAGCAATGTCAAGGCTTTCCTTGCGAGAGCGTCCAAGCTTTTCCTGTCCGCTTTGTAGTTTTGATACACAAAATAGACCTTGATCTCAAGCACAAAAATATAGAGGAACCAGAGGATCATGGCATAGCCTCGTTTTGCAGTCCGTACCTCAGCTCCCACCCACACAGCCACATAACGCAACACGATCAAGAAGCAGATGTCCCCCACCATCACCATGATGCAGATGCCAATCTTGCGGGGTCCATGGTTCTGCTCCACCAGGTAGGCATCAATCAGTGCCATGCTGCTCATGATAAGAATGGTGGAAAGGCAGACATGGGGTTTGTTAGTGGGGGGTGGGGGTACCATCCTTGCCTGGAATGTAGGGGTTGGGAAAAGGAGGAGACTGGCTGACTGGGGAGTGTAGAGGTTCCTCAGTTTATCCAGATACTAGATGTTGGCTTTCCCCTCCATTGCTTCTGTTTTGGAAAGAATCCAGGATGCATTAATTGGATTCACACAGATCACTTCAATCAATCTCTGTTTGTGCCCAAGACACCTGCCGGGTAGACAGCACCCCTCATTTAGTAAATGATGCTCATTGGTAAATGGTGTGTAAACATGCAGTATCACTTGTCAAAGGAATTAATAAATGTCAAGAAGTATCTATCTTTTACGAGTTAATCACCATTCATTGAACATAACTGTTCAATCAGTCGGTTACAATTTGTTTTATTGGATTAGACAAACACTGCATCGTTCTGGTTTCACTAAAACAATTCATGATTTCTACTCATGCTTAAATATATAGGTAAGAAAATCCACCTCAATACTCACTTGTGTCCCTTTTTGTACTTTATCCTAATAACTGGCAGCAAGCGATCATCCATGAGACTGTGCTTGCTGATCAGAAACACCATAGGTAATCCACAAGAAAGGAAAAGAGAAATTGTCTGAGATCTGTTTCTTCTCTCTCAGATATAAATCCAGCAGATTGACATCAGTTTCATGTTTTTCTTTATGATAGAAAAGAGAAATCCCAAAATACTGCTGTAATAATCCACTTTTTACTCAAACACAGGAGGAAGCATCTTAATGGTCACCAAGACAGCACTCCATTTCTGTAACTAAGAAGTCATGACATTCTGTGTAATACACAGACAATTTAAAGGCCCAACTTCAAAGAAAAAAAAAAGTGATAAAATTTGCAAATAATTTCTGTTCAAAGGAGAAATTTCTTCTTCCAAGTTATTATCCGTCATCCATGGAGAATAGGATAAGAACTGTTCCTTTTTCCTTGGTTAGGGCAGAAGAAACTGAAGAGTTGTAGTTTTGTTTTAAATGCAGTGGGTATCTGACTGTCCTTTTTTCACTCTGGTGTTTGAGTGTGTATTTCTCTGAGTGTGTTTCTGCTGTCGCCACGCTTGGATTTGCGATATAAAATGATGCATCCTTGGAGGGTTCCTGTCTGCTGTTCCCGTTTCTCTGTCTCCTTCTTAAACAGCTTTTTGCCAGAGCCACCAGGATCAACAGTGTCAGTGGATTCCCCTGCCTTCAGTCGGCACCATCGGTGCAGCGTTACTCCACTACAGCTGCCTCTTTCCTGTCTCTGTGCGCTCCTTAGCCCTGCTGTATGAGAGTCACTCCTCTGCCGTGTGCAGACACACTCCTGATGTTTCTTTTGCTCTGGAGCCCGTAGCCACCTTCCTCTTCTTCCTCTCTCCTCTGCTGAAGTAAAGGCACTTGCTGTGTGGAGGTGACGCTTAGCAGAGCACAGCTGCAGAGAAGAGAGATGGAGAGAAAAGAGGTAGAGAGAGAGAGAGAGAGACTTTTCCAGGGGGTGGAGAGAGGCGGGATGAGACGGGAGTAGCTGAATGCACAACTTCTCTCTCACCCAGTTTTTTACTCATCTTATTTGACACATTATGCTTAGTACTGATATCCTTATTCTTTGCCAATCTCATTTTAGTCAGAAAACTGTGCTTTCTCAACTCTTTAAAAAAGTCATTACACTACTATGCAGTTTTTTCTCTTTCACTCAGAAGGTACTGAGATTTAGACTAATTCAAAGGGCAACGGAATGCAGAAATCCACATTCTCAGGAGGCTGTGGCTTTGAGTGCAGAGGTGAGGGGGGTGACCCTGGATACTCCTGACAGAGAGCCTCTCTATTGATCCGCTAACAGTGCAGTGAATCAGGACACTGAGGTGGAGCCCAAAACCACAGATGAAAGGGGGGTGGTACAGATGTGAAGGCAGTGGAGGGTGAGAAAATAAAGACAAGATAAAAACGTAAAAAAATTACGGTAACTAAAGAATGCATTGCAATGGGATTAGATAGGACAAAAATTCTGTCAGACATAACAGATGGAAAGGTGGTACAGTGCCTTGCAGAAGTATCTCCGGAATCAGTATATAGACTTAAATTTCTCTAGATTCCTTTTTTTTAAGATTAGATGGACAGCATCTATTGGGAGCGAAGCCTTGCCAAATGTTCTCAATTGGATTTCAATCTGAATATTGAGAGAATGGATTGAAATCATGACATTTTGAGGAATGGCACAGCAAAAACAGATTTAAAAAAAAAACAGTCAGTAAATCTGACCATAGCGTGCCAGCTAAGTCAGCAAACCCAAAGCAAACTATAAGGAGATAACTGTCATAACTTAAAGCTGTAAGCAGGTCAAATATCTTCTTTTGGCAAATCCAAACATGGTCACCCTAAAATACAAATACTGTAGGCTGTACAACTAGAACAGGCGAGGTATCAATCATCACTTCAGTAAGGAGAAATACAAAGGTATTGCTTTAGTAATAATACTTGCATACGTTATTGGACTTTTTTTTTTATAGAACAGTACCTCAACAGTACACTTTTAAATCCATTTTTTTTATTATGTGTATAGTAATGTGATTAATTGTAATAAAAATGTGTATTCATTGCCCAGCACTAACATAGTTTAACTCAGTAACAGACATCTGCTTGTTGATCATGCTGTGGTACAAGGTGGTGTGGGTGGGCGCTGAGGTGCAGACTGCTAAATGAGGCTACGCCATGATCCTCTGTCTCTACATCTTTGTGCTTGAGATGAAAGTCTACTTTGTGCATCAAAACTTCAAAGCGTACAGCAAGAGCTTGGATTCTCTCACAGGAGAGCCTTTAAACTGATGTGTCAATTTCCAGTGCTTTGTATGAAAGATGATTTTCAATTGTCATCTGACCACCACATCTAAGACAGTCTTTGATATCTAAGGAAATATCCTAATACTTTGGAGGGTCGTTCAGTAAGTGACAGAAGTTGTGCCTGTATGTAAGTTTTGCTATTAAAAAACAGTTTGCTCATCATATTTTCCTTCAGTTACTGTAGTGTGGTACTGGACAGCTTCATGTGATGGTGGATGACAATAGGAATTTAAGAAATGATGCCCTTCAATAACCTATTTTGTTTCTGTGTACACAGATCAGCTCTCTTTTCTTGCTTTTAGTTCCAGCCCTGAACATGACGCTGCTTATGTGAGACCTCCCTCCAAATAAATTGTCTTCTATATGGCTTGTGGAACATTGCTGAGGCACTTCTTATGACATTCTTTTTGCCTTTTTTTTTCTTTTTTTTTATAAAGTGCAGACACCTGGAGTTGGATACAACAACTAGTAGTTGCCTTAAAAACTGATTACTCCACCTGAGCTGATTTTCCTTTGAAGCTCCCCCAGAGTTAACATTTTTGGCTGCTTCTCTGGTATATTAGAATCAGAATAAGATCAAGTTTATTCCCAAATAGGTTTGCACTTACAAGGAATTTGACTTGGTGTTGATGGGGCAGACAAATTACAGAATACAGAATCCATAGCTATATAAAATATAAATAATACAATATAGTATATACAATATATAGTATAGAGCGATATACTATATACACAGTAGACTGTGCATCAGTGTAACGCAGGAGGTCTGGAGATGCTTCTTGTTCACCCTTTCAGTTTAAATATGGCCGTGTCATGGTAGATTAGGTGTTTTTCTATACTTTTTCTGCATTTCCTTTGGTTTTCTTGATGGTGTTTGTTCACTGTTACTCCCCAATGAATGTTTGTGAGATACAAATGTAGTATGTGTACTGTTGGTGGCTCCTGATGGCAATTAGGTTATCTAAATTTTCTTTAAGAGTATCAGACAGATACTATGGAACTCAAGAACTGACAAGGTGAAAAAAGTATGCACACAAATCTTTTTTCAATTTTTTTAATGTTGTCAGGTTTCTGTTATGTTTTTCTTTTGAGTATCCAGTTGTGCTTTGCTCCTTGTTTTCTGGTTTTAGTAGGTTAATTCTTAGTTAATTTAATTCTTTGATTCTTTTCTGAGATACTGTCTTAGTCTTGGTTCTGTTATATTTTTCTTTTTAGTGTTCAGTCTTGCTTTACCCCTTGTTTTCTAGTGTTAGTGGTTTTATTTTTAGTTTGCTGTGTTCTTTGGTTTCTATCCTAGTCTGGGTTCTGTTATGTTTTCTTTTGAGTGTTTAGTTTTCTTTTCTCCATGTTTAATAGTCCTAGTAATTTAATTATTTTGTTGTTATTTCCGGTCTTCCGGGTTTCTTTTTGTTGCTCTCTGCTGCCCTCTTATGTTCTCCTTCTTCCCTAGCTCCTTCCCTCTCTTGTTCTGTGCACACCTGCTCCCAGTTTATTCATTAGCCCTTTTTTTTTTGTCTCAGGCTGCTTAAAAAACCTCCTATCTTCAGTTCCTCTTTGCTGGGTCCTCATCATACACCGTCCAACTTCATCTCTCTGAGCCTTCCTCCTTGAGTTTTTGATTCCCTGATGTCTCCATGGTTTTCTGTTTTTTTTTTTTCTACTTATTTTTCTTATGTTTTGAATTTTGGATTCCTGGTTTCTTGTTTTGTTTGTTACTCTTCATTAAATCTACCATAAATTCACCTCTGCCTGCCTGCCTCTGCTTTTGGGTCAACTAACCATAGCCTAATCGTGACAAATGTATTCCCTGCCTTAAAAACTCCCTAAACAATTTTTTTTATCTATTATTCTTTTATTTATTAGTACTGATTATTATTTTTTTATTATTATGAAAAATTGTGTATAATGTTGCATTGGTTTTCTTTTCATTTCAATCTTAAAGAAGTAAGAGAAAGTTGGTGTATCTACTTTGAGATGGAGTATTCTAACATAGATACTTCTGTTTACCCAGCTGGGCCAATTAGGGATTATCCTCTCATAGAGGAACAATACTGCTTCCATCACTACACTATTAAGACATTCACTTGCTGCCTCATGAATTGTGGTAATTGACAAGTCAAAAATATTGGTTTTCTATGCTGTGTGCGGCTGCACTTTTCATCCAACTGTGTAATGACAACTGAAGATAATCGCAGTCAATCTCTGCTTTTTTCCCCTCTCACCGCTATGAATGGATATGACTGCCAGCTGTGGGTCAGCTGACAGCTGGCGTCATGATGGTTTACAACCTTTATCTGATCTTTTTTTTTTTTCATTTCAGGCATAAGGATGCTTCATGTATGAGAAATAAAGTCAAGTGGAAAGCTATTGGCCTTTCCTTGCGTTCTCATTTACTGTTTCCTTTGGATTTATTGACCATTATTTAACCATGACAAGTGGAGTAATGGAATTTATTCTTCTTGGGAAACTAAAATCAGTGTTCTTCCTGCTGCAGTTCTTAATATATTTCAGCTGTCATTATAAACCCACATACTAGACCTGGCATTAATGCCAAGCGGTGTTTAAGGGTTGTGGCAGCACTGAGAAGGGGTGGTTAGATAAATGAATCGTTGTATAATGATAGGTCACAGGTATGATTTTCTAGACAGAGCAGCACACCCCTTAACAGCCACCTGTCCTTGAACGGGACACTAACCTACTACCTGATGATGATGGAGCAAGCTATGCACTGGAAATTCAAATGAGGGGATGGCTTGTCTGTTCCTTGGTGGAGTAGAGCTGTGATCTTAATGGTTTCTCCATCTGACTTCAGTCTTGCAGAGATACAAATCCTTTATTCACTGTTTTGTTATGTACAATAGAGTATGATAACCTCTTGATTAAAAATTCCTGTTTTCTAACCATTTAGATGATCCAAGCTTGTCTATCATTAGAATTTTTCAAAATTGTATTATTTATTTTAAACATCATGATTACATTGGCAGTTATCTCTCTTTCTCTTGCTCTCTTTGTTGTTTTGTCACAGTCCTGGTTCTGTTAAGTTTTCTCTTTATTATTCAGATTTACTTTGCTCCATGGTTTGTAGTTTTATTTTGCTGTGTTTTCTGGATATATTTGAGTTCCTAGGTTTTTATTTGTTGCCCTCTTGTGTTGGTCTCCTTTTCCCTAGCTCCTTTCTAGACTCCTCTCTTCCCACCTGCTCCCAATCAGCTCGTTAGTCCTCTCTTTGTTCTGTCTTCCATAAATACTCTCCTTGTGCAGTTCCTCAGTGCTGGTTCTTTGTCTTACCTCGTCTTTCCTCATCTTACCCTGGCTTCTCATGATTGTTTTCCCCTGATATCTCCATGATTCTGGTTTGTGTTACATTTTAAGTTGGATTTTGTATTCCTAACTCTGTTAACTGTTACCATTAAATAAAACTGCGAGAACTGACCTATGCCTCCTCTGCATTTGGGTCCCCAAAAACCACAACCAAACCCTGACATGTTTACTTTTAGCATTTTCTTTTTGTTTGTTTTTTAGATAATCCTTTATCGGGTCAATATCAGATATGTTAAAATTGTCATG